AACATAACATAACATAACATAGTTTGCATAAATATATTTTCTCAATCACTTATAGAATGCCTGGTTTGAATATATCAATCATTTGAAAAGGAAATAAATCTTTCTTTATTTTAGAAAATCTGACTCCAAGTTTGACTATATTTTCATATTTATATATTAGCTTCTTTCACAGCAATCCACAAATACTCTAATTCATAAGCATTAGGTTATCAATTTATTGATGTACCTAAGAGGGCATTTAAAATACTTTTGGAGATGCTAACTGAATTTAGAAATTTAAAATAGGACTTATCTGAACAGATTACAATAGCACTTAGACTTATATATTGCTTCACAGTACTTTACAGCCCTCCCTTAGTGGTTTACAGAGTCTGTATATTGCCCCCAATAATCTGGGTCCTCATTTTTTGGACCTTGGAAGGATGAAAGGCTGAGTCAACCTTGAGCCAATGAGACTCAATCTGCCAAACTGCCAGGAGTCAGCAGAAGTAGCCTGCAGTGCTGCATTCTAACCACTGAGCCACCTAACAGTGCTCAGATAATTTAAGAGTACATTTTGAAGTAGAAGAGCAAACTTTAAGTGACATCTCAGAAGAGATCACAAAGATACTCATAAAACCAAAACTTTTTATAAATAGCTCTCTCCTCCATTCATGTTAAACTAGAAATGTGTGAAGATCATCTGTCTCAAGCTCCAACTTAGATATTTACACCTATTTAGTTCCACATGATGTATCGTATTTCCAAATGCTGAAAAACTCACATTTAGCTAAATGAAAATACAAGAAATACTTATTTCAGAGATGCTGGTTCCTAATAAGTTAAATGATTAATTACCAGATAAGTACATCAACTGTTTGGTTCATATTTTTCCAGAATATACTGTTTCAAATTATGTATTATTGTTGTATAAAGTCTATGAGCTTACAGTGATATACTGTACACCACTATTGAGAAAAGGCTAACATAGTATATTTATTGGATTCATAGCTTGTGAAATCAATAATCAGACCGTGGGGGCATGAAAGAACATTGGGACAACTACACTATAGATTGGGGGCTTGGTAAGAGAATCACTTGGCCTCTAGAGCAACTTGGACTTTTCTAAGTTTTCCAGTCAGACAGAAGTTACTGGGATTATCTGGTACAAGTTCTGGAGTTACTAATGCTCAGCTAAATGCCTATATGAATGCCATCTAAACACATGCTTCTTGTGTATGAAACAAACTAGTAAATCTTTTAAACTTTAATCTTTGCCTGAGTTAATATTTCCCTCTTGCTTGTAAGCATGGTCACTTGTTCAGGCTAAAGGTTCCCTATTGATTTGAGCTGGAGTTAAAGTCTGAACTAATTAATTCCCATTTAGATGAAAAGAGGATGACAAAATTTATGAAACAACCATGCATAAATCTGCTCTGGGCCATCGATAGCTCTGTGAAAAGGACTCTATCTATTCCCTTATAGTCACATGAGTTTGGGTTTTCTTGTAGCCAAGAAATATTTACCAATGAACCACAAATTTGGGGGTTGCTTTATTAACCAGAGTGTGATAAGAAAGTGGAGGTTTCTATTCTGTCATGCGGTTATTGCCTTCTCCCTGAACTGAGATAAAGATTATAGGAAAGGATGTGTTTTACTTTTTTTGAACATCTATATTTATTCAATATTGTATCAGTTATCAAGCAGTCATTTAGACATTCAGACTGAATTGTGTGATAGCTGAACATATAACAAATTTAATATGAAGAAAAAAATTAACTTTTGAAATTGACTCATGGTTTATGAATGTTTTACCTGAGCCTGATAAAGATCATTCTCTAAAAGACAGGTCCTTCTGTTCTATCTAAACTTTTAATCCATATTTATTTTATTTATTTATCAGATTCAGGTACTGCCCTTGCCAGTCTCAAAGTGACTCTGAGTGAAATAACCAAATTAATATTATTTCATGAGAAAAGCTGTGGATTTAGATTGGCATGAATTTAAAAACTGGCTTATGTCATGTCCTTTTGTGCTTAATGTAAATGTCCTGCAATTTTTTTGAGAACTCCACATTACTCAATACATAGAAGTTATTGAGATGGTGTAAAGGCAAAGCATTTTCTCTCTCGTGTAACTCTTGTGGTTAATGCCAGCTTCAGAACTATAATTTAAGCTTGTAACTTTTAAGTTTCAAGTACAACAGTTTAATAAATGGCCCAATTGGCATTTTGAGATTCTATCAGGCTGAAATAATTGTTGCCTGTGCTGGTGTTTAGCAGTTAAAAGAGACCATGGAAATCAACCGTTTGATTCTCAATTTCATACTGTGCCATACAATCAATTCTTTTTAGTCAGACTGTCTCTAGATTTACTTCTGAGCCATAGTAAAATGAGGAAGCTTTCATTAATCTTTCAGATGCTTCATATTAATGACAAGGCTCTTGCATGAACAATGTAACAGCAATTAAAAAGCCCATTAATCTGCATTACAGCTATTAAAGATGCATGTCATTAAAGGGTATGGAGTTTGATTCATTTTAGCACCCCCCAAAAAATGGAGCAATTATGGTCTGGCAATGCACTTTGTCATCAAATTAGGTTGGGGTTTTCCAGCAAATGGTTTTGCAGCATTTAGCTCCTTTCCTATTTTATTATTCATGACTGAAATGTGGAAGTCAAGACCTTTGAAATTACTTTACCTTCTTGTGGAGTGGAGATGTTCAAGGCATGTGAGCTCTCTGTACAGCCTGCCAAAGTGCAAGCCATTAGGGTTACAGCATAGTTTGCAAAGGGACGCAAACCTGTCAGCAGACCTGCAACAGAAGGAATCCATGCTGAGTGTACAATGGGCAAAGATAGCATGCAGATATATCTTAAGATAGTTTAACCCAACAGTGAGTCTAATTCCACATTGTCTGTTTATAACAGAGAGAAATGCATTGAGCCTCAGCTAAGAAATTTTGTTATCCTCTTGAGGTTTCAGCTGGGTTTTATCTAAGCAGGATGCCTCAATTTCACTTTCATCCTATAGAAATACATTGTTATTCAGATGCAGGTTGTAATAACTGTTTTCAGTGTTATGGCTATCCAGCCTAGTGCAACCTTATACTTTAGACAGGATTTTAAAGGGGTTTGCAGCGAGTTACTGTATTAATTTTTGATGTTGTACTTTATTATTTTGGATTGAGTCTCCATATAAGCGCACAGCAAATAAAGATACTACTACTACTATTATTATTATTATTATTTAGCTGTTTGAAAACTATGAAGAATCACTTAAATATGAGCCAGCAGTATGCTGCAGCTGTCAAAAAAGCCAACACAGTACTGGGCTGCATTAACAGAGGGATAGAATCAAGATCACGTGAAGTATTAATACCACTTTACAATGCCTTAGTAAGGCCACACTTGGAATACTGCATCCAGTTTTGGTCACCACGATGTAAAAAAGATGCTGAGACTCTAGAAAGAGTACAGAGAAGAGCAACAAAGATGATTAGGGGACTG